GACACTATGAACTATCACTGTGTACACTGTATCTCCCTGTGAGTGGTGTATTATAAACACAGATTCAGTCCTTGAGCAAGCACACAAACAAAATAAAATTTAAAGTCTCTGTGGCACCTATGACACGAATAGGCTGGCAGTTGTCCTTACCAGCTCGATTGCCAATATGTATTCACTTTAAGTTATTATAGTCTCTTCTGCATTCACTGATGACAACTATGAACTGATTTAACTGAAGGCACAGTACTACACTCCCTGGTTGGCCTTTATCACAGCCGTGACCACAACACCCTAAAAAATAAAATAAAATAAAAGCTTTGTCATGTGGCAGTGATTGTGTGGTTACGCACTGTTGGCAAGTACTGGGCATGCACCGGCTCCTGAATGTACCTGAACCTGCTCCAGTGTTGATCAAGTCTGGTCTTGAAAGAGCTCACACTCGGTGCCGTCACAACACTTTCTGGTAGATTGTTCCAAGAGTTCACAACTCTCACTCCGAAAAAGTTTGCCCTCACAGTTTTCTGGACTTGCGGCTTCTTCAATCTTGAGCTGTGACCCCATGTGGGGCTCGCGTCCGCCAGCTCCAAGTAAGGACACTCGACTGAGTAGTGCCCCTTGAAATGCTACTCAGTCGAGTGTCCTTACTTGGAGCTGGCGAACATATAAGGTACAAGATACTTCCAACATATACTCAATACATCTAGACTCTTTCCTCTCAAGGTGGATGTACATAATTGACAGTAAACTAAATTAAGTCACTCATGATTTTAAATTCCCTGAACATCTTAAGTTAATAATAATAAAAAAAAAGAGTCTTTGAGCGAGCACACAAAAGGAAAACGGAGGAACTACAATATCCTGAAGTGGATAGAGAACGGACGTCGCTACTGGGGACTCAAACGTTTCACATGTTTTCTTTTATCCTCTTCACCACTGATCAGCTCCTTAGCCGCTTGGGCTATCGGTCACGTCTCTGTTACTTTTCTTTTTCTTTTATCCTCTTCACCAAATGAGCGGCTCGTTAGCCGCTTGGGCGATCGGTCACGTCTCTGTTACGCACTGTTGGCAAGTACTGGGCATGCACCGGCTCCTGAATGTACCTGAACCTGTTCCAGTGTTGGTCAAGTCTGGTCTTGAAAGAGCTCACACTCGGTGCCGTCACAACACTTTCTGGTAGATTGTTCCAAGAGTTCACAACTCTCAATCCGAAAAAGTTTGCCCTCACAGTTTTCTGGACCTGCGGCTTCTTCAATCTTGAGCTGTGACCCCGTGTGGGGCGAGCGTCCGCCAGCTCCAAGTAAGGACACTCGACTGAGTAGTGCCCCTTGGGATGCTTCTACACCTCAATTAGGTGGCCCCTTGCCCGTCTGTAGTATAAGCTAGGCAAGTTCAGGCGCTCCAATCTCTCAGGGTAGTTGAGATGCCGAAGTGCAGGCACGAGTCTGGTGGCCCTCCTTTGAACATTTTCATCAACCAACTGACAGTCCCTAGCATATCTCGTGGACCAGACAGGGTGACAGTATCTCGATGGGGAAGCACTTCACTCTTGAAGATCTTTACGAGGGACGGATTTCGTCTAGATATCTGAACGACCTTCTTATAAGACCCAATAATTTATTTGCCTGATTTACCTTCTTCTCGCAGTGGCCCGAGAACTTCAGCTAATTGTCAACATACACACCTAGGTCCTTCTCATATTCAGTCTCAACTAGTGCAGTTTCTTCATCCCGTTGGGACATATGATACGCCTCCTTACCGTTGGTACGCCCCAGGTGCATCCTCTTAATCTTCGTGACATTGAATCTCAGCAGCCATTTCTTCGACCATTCCTGGAGCCCACAGAGGTCCTGCTGCAGCTCTTCACTGTCCGAATAGTCGTTGATTTCCCGAAATAACTTGGCGTCATCGGCAAACATTTGTATGGAGTGTACGTCAGGCATGTCATTTATGAAACAAACAAACAACAGCGGGCCCAATACACTGCCCTGTGGTACCCCGCTTTTGACAAGTACGGATGATGATTTCGTACCATTAATCACCACACACTGCTTGCGGTCATGTAGAAAGTCTTTTACCCACGCTAGGACATTTCCCCAAATTCCGTACCCATCCAATTTGATTTTCAGCCTTTCGTGGGTACACTGTGGGCGCTGTGGCGTAATATGAATAATTAAGTGTTGAACGGACAAACTACACAAACGTGACCATGACACTAGACTAAAGGGACTGTTCCTTTTTATTTCATTCTCTAACATGCACTAACATTACCCTGATGTGTTGACAAGTAAATAAGTGAGTTTATACTTTGGATTATGTTATCAAAGAAAACGAATGATGTAAGGATGGTATTTATGATTAGAAGAAAACGAATAACTTTATGGGATAACCATGACAAATCCTATCACGGGTAGACTGCACAAAGTTTGGGATGATGAAGCTAAGGTGAATGGATAAGACGGCAACAATAAAGGGATGATTGGTAAGGGATACAGGCCAGACTAGAAAGATTGGATGTGCACGACCATGAGATTGGGTGAATGGGAAAGAAATTATCATAAGAAAAGAGATGATCAGAAACATAAGAACAGCGAATTGAAAGTTTACGGAAAGTTTCGATAATAACCATTGTTTTCACTCCCTTCTCACAGGGAGATATACCCGTGTTAAATGCTAAAAGGGGGACATACCTGTGTGTGTTTGTGTGTGTGTGTGTGTGTGTGTGTGTGTGTGTGTGTGTGTGTGTTTGCTTGCATGTGTGCGTGCGTGTGTGTGTGTGTGTGTGTCCTCTTCACTATTAATATCTTGGTGGTGTGCTTTAGTGGTAATTAACAATTATAAAATTCAATGGTATTAAAATCAGGCATTTAAGAGTTTGTATCCTAAGGCAATGGGATGAAGAACTTGATATTGATCTTATAATATGTCCTAATGTCCTGTGCATATGGCCTTTAAATGTCCCCTACTGCAAATTGAGAGAGAGAGAGAGAGAGAGATTTAACACCTCTATCTAACACTTGACCTTCAACATACAGAGCCATTTTGTTTCTGTGGGGGTAAGTTGTTCTTGTTCCTCGTGAGTGTGGAGTCTTGGTTACCTGCACCGTGGCTACTCCTGGGGATAATGTGCCTGGGGATGGGTTTAGTGATCACTTTTTACCTTCATAAATACAGTGGCCATTAAACAGAAATTAATAATAAACCATCTTCTTTTGTCCTTTGTTTTAAAAGACTGAAGAGACGATATTTTTAATGTGTTGAGAATAATAACAAAAATGATAAATATGTAGAAGAGAAAGAAGGTGGCAGAAAACACTAGAAGAGTCCAAAGAAAAGACATGACGAAAGTAAGAAAAAAAAAGACAATTGACCTGACACGATTATAATGATGAATCAGTCTGTGTTTGAACTTTTACCCAAATTTCGTAATGTTTCAATAAAACAAGCCTGTTCAGGTTTTATTTAGGAAAGCTGCCTCTTAATTTGGTTCAATTAGATTAGTCTTTAGCTGATAGAACATGACTTATTACATCATAAGTAAAGTTTGAGTTGATATCCCTCTTTTATTTTCTCCACCTAGACACACTTCTAAACTAATGTACTAAAATTTACTAATGTTATATATCCTTCTGAAACATGTAAGAAAGCAGTGTCATTTGCCAACAGATATTAACTCTTTTATTTGCATCCACGCCCCTGTCAGTCAAACCCATTCCCCTCTCCATCCCTTAATCTTTCACTCTCATAATATTCCTTCCTTAAATTTGTTTTGGTAATATTAAAGCAGACGGTTAGCACCAGTAGGACTTCATAAAATTTGTTCATATTTTCCACAGGTGTTGTTTGCTTGATAACAGGTATAAAAATTGATAAAAAAGTCTTTATTTTTATTTTATCTTTTTTCCCAACCTTCGATCGTAAATCACATGTGGCAGTAATTTGAGGTCTCTACGTGCTTTGTAGGCGATAAAGTACGCCGATAATTCTCCTGTGGCACAGCGTGTTGTCGTTCTCTCTTTAGCTAATAAATTATAAATCCCTTTGTAAAAATTTACAAGTAACGATGGAGCGTCACAGCGGGCGTTTTATTACCATAAATATTGGTTTGATTGACTTTTTTTTTAAATTTTATATGCCTCACCTTCCCGGTTTTCATGTTTATGGCTGTGCTAATCCCATTTTTTCCATTTTGCGCAATTGGTTCTTTTGAACATATTCTATGTATGAAAGATGAGTTTCATATAGTTGGATTCGAATCCCATATTATGGGTTTGGATACATTTCCAATTCCTTTCGAGTGGCATTGGACTCTAAAGTGAACTGTAAGTTCGTATACTTATTGTTCTTCCCTGAGGAGGACTAAAGAAGAAAGCCTTGTTGATTTTCGATGGCGTTGTTATCGCGACGTGTTCGTTATCGTATCGCAAGTTATCTATATTTGTAAAGGATGAAGACCGCCTCCAAGAGATCATCTATCAACATGAATTAGTTGGCAGGACGTGCAAGTGTTCAAAATGCGGTAGTGAGCTGTCAGTGAAGAAGAAATATATGTTTTAGTGTAACAACCGAACCGATCGTACTCTTATGTCAAAAAAAGGAGTAAAATTACACCATGCCGTTTGAAGAAAAGTACTTCCATCTGTTCCTGACATCAAAGTAAGTTCTTTCTGTTTAACTTAACGGTTAGAAAGTTAGGTAGGTTAGGTTAGGTATGTCAGTGTTAAGTTCCTCTTAATATCCACAAATTCCACTGTGATTTTATTTCTCCTGCCTTATAGCTGACTAATATCTCCTTTATGTAAATTGTTCACCTTTCCCATTAACATAATTAGAACTTAATGATGAAAAAATTACAAGGGGAATTTGACTTTACAGACCGAAATCTTTGAAATCATTGAAGTAAAAATACTCTCAAACAATTGTATTTCAGAAATGATTAAAAAAATAATATACTGGCAAAAGAGAAACTTGTAAATAGTGAACTACATGATGGTGAAGACAATGAGTGGGGGTCAGAGATGTCGGGTATATAAGAGGGTGTGTTGTGAAGTGCAGGCATCAGTCGTTCCTTCACGGCACCACAAGACCTATACCAAGCCACTCACACAATGGTTGGTCACTCACTCAGTTATTGTTGGTCATTGTCATTTACTACATATTGGGTCACTGTCATTTATTGGTGTTTCGTCACTGTCACTGGTCACTGCCACTTACTGGTGCTGGTCAATAATTTTTTGTATTTAATTTCTCAAGCATTTTTGTAAAGATCCTTAAAAGATGATTATTTGTTTATTTGTTCATTTATGGTTATATATCTTTACTTTATTATTTATTATGTATTATCATATTTACCAATTTTCTGTTATTAATTTGTTTTATTATCTGCATCTTCATCAGTTAATTCTCTCATCATTAACGCATTTATTTACCTAATTTGTTTACTCATATTTCTCCTATTCATCCATTTCCCTTTTTACTTTTTTATTTGTCTCTGTTTAGTTATCTATGTAGTCTTTATCTCTTCTTTATTCTTTTTCTTTGTTTATCTATTTAATTATTAACGTGTTTTCTTTTGTTTTCCCAGAAGTCACTGTTGTTCCTCCTTGGGCTGGCAGTCATGGTTGTCTCTGCTACTGCTGCTGCTAGTGGCTATGGCTATGGTGGCGGGTATGGTGGCGGGTATGGTGGCGGGTATGGTGGCGGGTATGGTGGAGGACACGGGGGAGGATATGGTGGCGGAAGAGCCTCCATTAATTTTAACCTCGGTGGTGGACATGGCAGTGGTTACGGAAGAAGCTATGGTGGCGGCTATGGAGGAGGCTATGGAGGAGGCTATGGTGGCGGCTATGGAGGAGGCTATGGTGGCGGCTATGGAGGCGGCTATGGTGGCGGCTATGGTTACGGAAAATAATAATGAACTCATGTCTGACCTAAGAGATACAAGGACACCAGTTATATCCCATTGTATATAATTAAGAAGATGAATAAACTTAAGACCTTCCTAAGTGTGTTTAACTCGTGTCACCGAGCAGGTAAAGGGATTAAACATTATCCCAGAACGTGTGTTGGGATTTTGGAGTTAGATACTATTCGACGTAGCTAATAGTGGGATTTGAGAGCCACGTGGGGATTATAGAACACATGAAAGACTGAATTTCATCTATGAATCTTCACCATTACAGTTCCCTTTTCTACCTTAACTAGAGGCATAAAAATGGGTCGCCAGGTCCAATTGTTGGCCCATACCTCAGCTCCCTGCCCTCAACCTTTCCTCCCCACTGGGATGTTAACAAAAGCCCGCCAAAGATGACAATTTCGTCTCTGACAGGAGTGAAATTAGTGTTTAATATTGATGAACTGTATTTAGGCCAGTTAAATCAATACTAAATAGTAAACAGCTGAAAGTCATGACCAAGTCGGCCATCACACCCAACAGTATGGTCCCAACACCCTTAGATAACCGCCCCAGGGAACCAACCACCATCTTCTGACCTGGCGGTATAGTGTTCATCAGTCCACTCAGGGAACTACCGCGGGTCGGCTTTACAGCTGACATTGAGATATCACAATACCACTTGGCAGAATTAGGTACAGTAACACCACACCACACCACACCACACCACACCACACCACACAGTCTCTTTATGACACCGTGTTGCCATGATTGAGTTACTACGACGTCATCTGAAGTCCTTCATGTCAATACCTATGGACGAGTCACTGCAGCACCACCTGAAGTCCGTCATGTCAAAACTTATGGATGAGTTAATGTAGCGAGTTGAATTTCCTTTTATGATCTATCGTTCACTTGTCACTGACTGAGGTGTCCAGAAAACAATTACGAACCTGACTAAACATGTAATGACTGAAAATATATAAAAATAGAGCAATAATATATGCATTGCCTCTGAAGATGTCCTGAATAAAGTCGAAAGCTAAGGTGCTCCAGTGTTTCCCTTTTCCTGTGTGGTTTTATCGAGATATATCTTATCCACGTTTCCGTTTAATATATCCCCAAACATCACGGTCTCCACACATGATGGTGTCCAACATTTACCTTCACTCACGTGTCAATTGTGGCGTAAAAGAAGTGATGAAAATATTGGTAACATTTATAGTAGCAGTCACGTGTTTGTCTTTTTGTCTGGTACTCCTCTCTTGTCTGTCTGTCCATTTGTTTACCTTCCTTGCATGTTTACCTGCCAGTTAATGCCTCTAGCAATATATCTGTCTATCTGTTAGTATATGTAACTATCTCTACTTTTCTGTACTTATAAGTTGTCCATCTACTTGTCAGTTTGATATATATATATATATATATATATATATATATATATATATATATATATATATATATATATATATATATATATATATATATATATATATATATATATATATATATATATATATATATATAATCAGTTGGTATTAGAATTCCGTTTTCTATATTCGCTGAGTTGTTTAGGGGTGAAAGACCAACCGTGGCGATTAAGATGTATTTAGTAAACGATTATTATTGTTACTCTCGCGTTACGTATCTTTTTTTTTCTTTTACTTTTATCCTCTTCGCCACTGATCGGCTCGTTAGCCGCTTGGGCGGTCGGTCACTTCTCTGTTACACAGTGGCATGTACTGTACATTACTGGCTTTAGAATATATCTGTACCTGCACCAGTGTCGGTTATGTCTAGTCTTGAATGAGGCCACACTCGGTGTCATCACAACACTCTCTGGTAGATTGTTGGAAGAGTTCACACTTCTCACTCCGAAAAAGTTTGCCCTGACAATTTTCCGAACTTGTGGTTTCTTCAAGTTTGAGATGTGACCTCTTGTGGGGCCGACGTCTGCCAGGTCCAGGTATATACACTGGACTGGGTAGTGTCCTCTGATATGTTGACAAACTTCAATTAAGTCGCCCCTTGCCCGTCTATAGTATAAGCTATGTAATTGCAGACATTCTAAACTCTGGGTAACTGAGGTGCCGTGGCCCTCCTTTGGACATTCAATCAACTGTCAGTCTCTAGCATATCTCGAGGACCAGACGGGGTGACAGTACTCCAAATAGGAAAGCACCTCACTCTTGAAGACCGTTACGAGGGACAGCCCGTCTAGATATTTGAACGATTTTCTTATAAGACCTATTAGCTTAGTTGCTCGATTCACCTTCTTCTCACAATGGCCTGAGAGCTTCAGTTTGTTGTCATAATATATACCCAGGCCTAGGTGTCTCCTCTTACATTTCGTCACATTGAATCCTAGCAGCCATTCCTTCGACTACTCATGAAGCTGACGGAGATCTTTCTGTAGGTGTTCAATGTAAGTTTGGTTCTTAATTTCATGGGGTACTCTGTCGAAGGCCTCGTTAATGTACGGACATACAGTATATTGTCGATATTGTTACCATGTTTCAGTGAGTCAGGCCAGTGAATACCACTCCTCTCCTTTATCACGTCATAATCGCCCTTGTAATATTTGAACTTTGGTTTATTTTATCATGAACTAATTGGCAGTTATATCTGAAGAACGTTACGTGGTGACTGGTGCTGGCGGGGGCTAGGCGTTCCAGCTTGGCCACCATACCCTCCTAATTAATTATTATGAGTTCCAGCGGTTTGGGCTTTTGTTCCCCTCTGTAGTGAGTCGGATCTTGAACATGTTGGAAAATAAAATTGTCAAGTATATTTACTATCATAAAGATCGTAATTGTTAAAGAACAGGCAGTAATAGCATTATAACGTTAACTACAATCTACCATGTTCTCAACTGGCTCTAGATCTTCTGTGCTTTTTTGGTCAAATGGTCAAAGGTTAAGGTTAGGAAACACGAAAATACTCACCGCCAACTGGCATCTTGCTCGGGTGTGTTTCGTTTACTTTTATGCAAGTAACATTAAGGAACTCGGGGCGTGATAGTAAAGGAAACATAAGTCCAAACCAGTCATATTCTAAGGGACTTATTTAATTGATCAATGTCACTACTACAGACCGACAATACTGTATAAGAATAGTTCATCTTAATTACCATTGTCAAGTTTACAATAGATCATGTAATTTAACACCTCCAATGTTTTGCTGTCATGTTTATTTCATTTACTTATTTTCACTTCAAGTCAAAACGTAATTTAACCCATTTAAATTTTATATCATTATCATTTTCACATTTTTGTACCCTAATTATACTTATTATCCTTGATGTTAAAAATATATCTATAGGGAATTTCCTGTATATAAAAGGAAAGGTCTGGGTACAGTATTGAGTGAAAGTTCTTGCAAAATAATGACCACGTTGTTTTTACTATCTCGCTCACACCATGATTTCATTTTCTTGTTTTTACGTGGAGACCCGACTCGTCATGCCCACCCCGGCTGCCTTTCAGCGTCTTCCTCACTCATACCCACGCCTACACTACCCTCTCCTACGCCCACAATTTTCATCTATCCCTACGATATTCTCCCATGTCCTTGACCGCATACCCACGATTCTCACCCACGCCCTCGAGTCATCTACGCCTACGACCCTCTCCCACTCCCACGACAGTCATTTACGCCCATGACCCTCTCCAATGCACACGGCAGTCATCTACGCCCACTACCGTCACCCACGCTCACCACCCTCTCCCACGCCCACCACCCTCTCCCACGCTCACGATCTCATCTACGCCCACGACCCTCCTCCATGCCCACGACTCTCACCAACGGCCATGATAATCTCCCACGCCCACGACCCTTTACTACGCCCTCGACCGTCATCTACGCCCTCGTTCCTCTTCCACGCCCACGACTCTCGCCGACGCCCATGATAATCTCCCACGCCCACAACTCTCCCACGCCCACGACCCTTTACTACGCCCACGACCGTCATCCACACCCATGATACTCTGCCACGCCAACAACCTTCTCTCACGCCCACGACCGTCATCTATGCTTACGACTGTCTCCTGTTCCCATGACCGTGTACCGCCTATGACCTCACACCCACGACACTCGCCTACGCCCATAATCTTACACCCATGACCTTTACCCTCACCCATGATCTTATATCCACGACCTTCACCTTATACCCATGACCCTCACCCATGCCTATATATACCCTGTTGTTCCTTCCTCTACTAAAATTACAGGTAACACAGATAACCTTAAGAGAGAGAGAGAGAGAGAGAGAGAGAGAGAGAGAGAGAGAGAGAGAGAGAGAGAGAGAGTCGACACGCAAAGGAAGACAGAAAACACAGACAGATAGACAGACAAATACAGAGCTAAACAGACAGATGAACAAATAAGGGTCAACCACTAAACGGACGTCTCTCAACCACTATTACATTATCATAAATATTTTTCAGTACGTCACTTTACTTGAGATTCTGACAGCTATAAGTAATTTAACACACTCGACGCCAGAAGCTAGAGGAAGTATATAATTGTTGCTTCAATATTTAGTTTGGTTACCTGTACAGAAGACTCGGGTGTCATCAGTTCAACCTTTAAGTGTTGTGAAAGTGATGGAAACTTCTGTTTTTTTTTATGATTTTTGTTTTCGTTTTTGTTTTTGGTAAATGAAAAATGGTCTCCAATTTTAATAGTTCGTAGTTGACCCTAAAATAACACTGAATCCTGTACTTAAATCAAGAGTCCGCAACCCTCCGTTTTTCCGGCCACATGAGACTGGGAGTTGTTATTACTTTTGTCCTCTTCGCCACTGATCGGCTTGTTAGCTTGGGGCTACTAGGCCGGTAAGACTGCTATAATTACGTATTTTACTCTGGGTGAAAAATAAAAAGCAGGTGTTTGTGGAAGAAGGAAATATTATAGAAAAAGGCATTCATCGTTCTTTCAATATTTGGATCAACGTACTGCTGTGAGTGCAGTACCAGCCATGCTGCCTCCTTGTGTACCGAAGGCTTAGTATACAGTGTGCTGTATCCACATTGCCCTTAACGAGCAATTTTATCTATGGGATCCACTTTCACTTTTCACTGCTGTGAGCAGACATTCGGTGATTTTACCTTTCTGAAAAACAAGTACCATTCAAAGTTCACCAACACTCACATCACAGAACTTGTGAAGGCTGCTGTTACTAAATCTGAACCATATTTTGATGAAATTACAAATTATATTCAGGTTCAAGCCTCACATTAGATTTAATGCCGTTCTATGTATTTGTATTTGGAAAGCGAACCCTTATTTTGTAAAGCAAAGAGCCAACTTTGTACTACAATACCTTAATATAACAGCTGAAAGACACTTTTTTTAGACATATTACATAAGGCTTTTTTGTCCTGTATTCTACGTACACTGAATCGTAATATTTCGCAAAGTATTTGTGCTGCATTTTTGTATTTCGAATGTGAATCGTTTATTTTGTATTACCAGAAGACAATTATATATTACATTATTTTCTACTGATAAAAGAGGTTTCTTCCCCCCCTCCCTTATTTTGTACAGAGCATCATATTAGGCCAGTGCCGCTAGTGCCATTTACTTCAAGTTAAAGCTATATTTAACCTGCATTTCAGTGTTGATTATCATAATTTTCTTAAAAGTAAAATATAGTTTTGCATTTTTGACTGCCCATTCAACCCTGTGGAATGCATTGTTGACTTATGTTGCTGGGTACAGGTGCGACCCATCACTGATTACTGACCGGTTAAGAGGCCCACTATTATATAAAGATTGCAGACCCATGACTAAACAGATCAAATCACGTACTTAACCATATCTAATATATGATGTAACTGGGGACCTATAGAACTGGGACCCATTAGTACTGGGACTCACTACAAATGAGACGGATTTGTACTGGAGGCTATTGGAACCGAGACAGTTTAAGAAACGTAACGTAACGTAACGTTCAGTACTAGGGTCCTCCCTGTATGGTTCTCTCAGGAGAGTAGCCGATTACCATTACACATAAACATCTACAGTGTTATTTCAGATTGTTAAGTTCTACTGTACAGTTTCCTAAAGCTGATGTACAGTTGGTGAAATACAACGAGTAGTACATCATAGGGGAATAGATAACAGTGACAAAGATAAGGTGGAAAGATAGTGTTCAACAGGACGTGAGATATATGAACTACAGTTGTGAGAAGGAAAACCAGAGAGGTACATACCATAATAAACACTGGAATGAAAAGACAAAGAGGAAGAGGAGCATATGCTAATAAAGATGAAGATAGAAAAGCGATGAGAAAGAAGTAGAGAGGGAGAGAGAGAAAGTAATGATGCTGTGGTGATTAGGATGTTGTATGAGAGGAAGAGGTGAGTCAGTGAGTAAAGGTGAGATAAAACTAAATACACACACATATAAATCGATTAACATCCAGGTTCTCAATTACTGTTGGGTAGACAGAGGCAAATGGCGTAAAGAAACTTGCCCATAGTTTTACCCTGCCCTTGGGATCGAACCCAGGTCAGCTCGCTTGCAAGGTGAACGTGTTGACTATTACACCACAGGTCGCACAACTGACGATAACCCTTTAGATGACGAGCTGTTGTGATGACCTTTATTATTGGTGGCTTTAATGACGGGTTCACGCTGGCCATTGTGCTTTAATGACACACTGCCGAAACAACAGTTGTAACACCTTATACACACAGTTTGTTTACACAACGCAACATGACACAAAGTTACAATTATATAATGATTGCGAAAATCACATGCTGTATACTGCTGAGATTTAGAAATAGGTATTCCTTGTCTAGCGTATACTGAGGAGACACTCTCAACGCATTATGAAAAAACCCACACACATATACAACTAGATATAGGAAGATAAAAGGATAAACGCTTAGTCACGATGAGTAGGTAAAAACAGTACCGGGTTCACGCCCGACACTTTCTCAAAGGTCTCTGGTGTAGAAAGGGAAAACCGGCTTATTACTTAATCCAACTGTCACCCAACCTTATACGAGAGACATAATTGCTCTCTTCTAATGTTGGCTCTTAATGTTTATAAGTTGCATTCAGTTTTATGCTGATGGCTTGAATGCTTTTACATTTAGGTTAATGTTATTCATTGTTTTCCTAATATTTACATCTTTGAATGTGGATTATATGTAGCTTGGTGCAAAATATGTAAGATAGTCTCATATTTTAGGAACTTTAATACATTTGAGTGACCTTAAAATAAGGTGAATTTATATTTTTAAACCGTTGTTTATATATAAGTCTATTATTATTATTATTATTATTATTATTATTATTATTATTATTATTATTATTATTATTATTATTATTATTATTATTATTATTATTATTATTATTATTATTATTATATTTTCTCCCCCTAGGCCCCGATGTGGGTCAGTGACCTGTGGCCGGGTGGGTTAATCCCTATAAAAAAAGTTTCCTGCTAATACTGTACATGGAAACATTTTATGATGTTGTACATTCCTATAGTTGTGTATTACCATTAATTGATTGTTGTTTATAATGTGAGTCATGTGATATTCATGACATATTTCAGAGATGTTGAAGATAATATAATCCTCATCGTGTTAATACCAGGACTTTTCAACTGCAATATCAGACCATGACATGACTGTTAAACCAGACAATAGTGAGATTTATCACATAATAAGTATCTTTTTCATTTAATGGTTACCAACACACGTAAATCTTAACAATGAACTGTTTCGTGATATTTTATACATCTACCAAAAAATTATATTCCGTTCTGTTGAGTCTTGGTCGACTTACGTGAAGTCCATGAGAGTATATCCATCATGAATTATATACAGTAAAATTGATTGAAATTTCTGACATATTAAGAAATCACTGACTTTTTAATTTATCCAAACCTGTATTTTGTGAACTTGGGCACATTACAGGCATTATTTATCTATATATATAAGCATTTCTGTCATTGTTAATTGTAACCCACATCAGTTGCTTGCAATACAATATCGTTAGGTGATTGCAACAGGGATCAATGAGGTGCTGAGGCGATGGAGTGTAGACAACACTATTGGTGACCTCGGCGACACGTACAGCCTCGCCTCGCCCTCCACCTCACTCCTGCAGAACTCCTGGTCTAGTTATCACCGGTGAATGTTTCCAGAGAGTAAACATTGTACGAGAATGTATGTGTGTGTGTGTGTGTGTGTGTGTGTGTGTGTGTGTGTGTGTGTGTGTGTGTGTCTAAACAGAGAAAAGGTTATCCCAGCACTTTTGATTTTTCTTTGAGGATAAGAATATTGTTTAGTATTTATTCCAAAGCAAAAAGTTGATGATCAGAAACGAAAAAAATGCAATATTTTGTGAGGTAGGAGACGTAGGTGTACAGTTCATGATGCTGCAGAACTAAGAAACCACAGGATAAAAGAGTGAAGAGAAAATAAGTGGAAAAGTAAGACAAAACTTATTTTTGTGAGTGCCATAGGATGAAACAGATGGAACAGAGACACATTAATAAGTGGACTCAAGATTATGAATATAATTTATGCATAGGAAATACTTCATTAAATGCGTAATTTCTAAAACCGTGAGTTTCCCTGAGGTTTTCATAACTGATATAGAGGATGATACAATTTAAATGTCAGTGTTCGTTAGTGGCACAGAAATATGTCGAACATCTACCCTAAAGCTGTTTCTTTATCTACGTTAGTTTACCATTATAGTAAGTGACATCCATTACGTTTGTTTACAAGCTTAGCTCTTCATATAAGTAATTTTATTTAGCTCAGGTTCTTTCAGTATATGATAAAAATAAAACTTCAATCATTCTTCACGTTGCCTAAGAATCACATAGTTATTGCTTTTTTTTTACATAGGAGGATTCTCTGAAACATAAACCAGATACGTAAAATAAACATTTATTTCAATATAAACATGTAAGAATAATCCCACCCCCCCAAAAACACACAAAATACACACACGTCATCAGCATATATCACATTATAAACTCGTATAAATCGTTCTGTATACTCATGTTTGTACAGTCTATTGGCTTGGGACAATTAGTGTCTGGAGAAGTCTTTTTTGCTTTTACCTGAAGCTACAACATGATCAGCAGCTCCTGACCCAACGCGACTGATGAAACCACTGCCGGGAGCCTCGCCGAAGCTGACGTTAATTGTAGATGTCGCTCCTCCACCATCATGACCCCCTGCAGGAAGGATGTAGTCTCTTCCGAGTCCGGACACTAAACTGGTAGCTTCTAAAGAATCTCCATGTCCAGAGCCTCTCCCATGTCCCTTTTCACCGGAACTTCTGCCTCCGATGGATAATGATACTGAATCTTTGGGGTTACTGTGTGGTCTATCTTTTTGAACTCCGAGAGAACCGATGTCAACCTCGTCAGAGCTTATGTGTCCAAGTTCGGCATCGCTACCGTGGAAGACTTGCATCATTAAAGCTTGGTTAAGAGTGTCCGCACCCGGCTCAATAGAACCGATGTATCTTCCTTGGCCGAGGATGATATCAAAGCCATCTGTCTGACTTCCACCAAAGACATCACCAGTTGGATCATTGTGTTGAATGCTTCTACCAAGAGGAGCTCCAGACACATCTATTCCATCTCCGTGGGCTACTGAGTGACCCCCTCCTCCAGAGACACTATTGACGGCTAAAGCATTTCTGTGCTCACCTCTATGGGCTGCAATATGACCTCCTCTCCCTCCAGCAACAACTACATTATCTCCAGCACCACCGTGGCCAATGTGAGTGCTGAAGTGAGTGCCAGCGTCTGCAGTAACCCTAGGAGTTCCAAAACCACCTCCTCCGACACCTACACTGTGACCTCTCCCAGAGAAGCTCTTAATAGGACCAATGTGTTCTCTGTCAACGGTTACCACACGTCCAGGTCGTCGGTGCTCACCTCCAACATCGAAAGATGGACCGATGTATCTAATGCCAGGAACGTCACGCCCTCCTCCGAAGAAGTCACCAGCATCGGCTTGTCCTCCTCCCACAGGTCCACTGTGTACTCTAAAGACACCTTGCCCTCCAGTGGGCTTTTTGTCAGCAGATCCAAAACTAGCAGGCCCGCGATGTCCTTGTGTGATGGCCAGTCCTCCACGATCCCCTACTCCGACTGCGCCAAGTGGTCCCACGCCTCTAGGGATGCCTACTGTCGGTCCTCGATGCTCTTTAGTCCTAGTCACAGTATTGACATGTCCTCCTCCAATGGTTCCAGTAGGTCCTCCTCCAAATACAAATCCAGCAGGTCCACGATGTCCTGTGGTAACGGCGTGCCCTCCCGCAAAGGATCCAACAGGTCCGCCGTCACCTGAGATGCCTACTGTAGGTCTGCCATGCCCTTTGGTGACTGACACATGACTCTCTCCGACGGATCCAAAACCACTGTGTCCTCCACCAACTGGTCCAGTGAGCTCAACCAGCACTCCTCCGGGATGGTCAACTTTGAATGGACCACCATGACCAAGATTAAAACCACCGCTTACTCCTCTGACAACGCCGCCCCCTCCAACACCAGTGTGTCCACCCGAAGTATGACTAAAGGGACCACTCTGACTAATGGCTCCATCCCTAAGTACTACAACAGGTCCACCGTGGCTGGTAGGTCTACCTCCACCATTAGATCCACTCAAACTAAATACTCCACCATGACTAATGGGTCCCCCAGAACCATGACCAATGGGTCGGCCCTTGCCTTCGCCAATGTTTGCATCTAGAAAAATGGAGCCTCCCTTACCTCCACCTTTGGGTCCACCAATACCATGTCCCACAACATGCCGAATGGGTCCACCATGACCAATTTCGGTAGATCCAAAATGTGCAATACCTTCAAGTCTGTCACCAAGTCCACCATTTCTATGACTGCCTACAAATCTACCGTTTCCATGACCGCCTACAAATCCACCATTTCCATGAAATGGTTGAAATCCACCGTTTCCACGAACGCTTACAAATCCACCATTTTCATGACTGCCTACTAAGCCACCATTTCTATGACTTCCTACAAATCTACTGTTTCCATGATCGCTTACAAATCCACCATTTCCATGAAATGGTTGAAATCCACCGTTTCCACGAACGCTTATAAATCCACCATTTTCATGACTGCCTACTAAGCCACCATTTCTATGACTTCCTACAAATCTACTGTTTCCATGACCTCCTACAAATCCACCATTTTCATGACTGCCTAAATGACCGCCAACAAAATGAACGCCTCCAAGTCCTCCACCTCCTTGCTTGCCTCTGACCGGGCTCTTGGTCTTCTCCGTCACTGAGCCAAGAGAGAAAGATCCGCCAGAAACCTTCTTAGACGTTCCAGGAGCAAGTTCCCCGTGGATGTTGTCCAGCAGGAGAACCAGCCCCGCGGCGATCAGGAAGACGTTCTGAAAGTGATAATGGATAAAAGATGAGTTAGTAGGTGAATAAAAGAGAAGAATAAAATATTGATGAATGTGAGTGTCTGGAAGTAGAGTGAATAAAATAAACTAGAAAATACATGACTAGGAAACAAACATAAGAGTGAGGATCTGGGAGGAAAATGGACAAAGGAAGAATATTAAAATAATATATAAAGGGAAGCTTGTTGATGCAGAATATATGAATAGAGAGTTTGACAATAACAAAGAGAAAGGTGGTATTGGAGACAAATAGATAAAGAAGTAAACATTGGATAGATAATCAAAAAATATATTACAAATGGACATGGAATGGCGTAATAAATTAGCAAATTAATTAAATGAAAAAATTTACATAAACAAAGAATAAATAACTAAATAAACAAACATAAGAATTTATAAAGTACCACAACTATGTTAGACATGAATGATATTACATAAAATGAAACAAATTGCTTAAGTTTCTCCAGACCGACACTGTAGAGAGTGTCACCACACCTTACCATGGCGCAGCTGTGAGCCAACTCCCTGACGTAGGCTGGCACCAGGCGCTTATATAGCAAGCTTGCCCGCTGATGTCGAGTGGGGGAAATACAAGATGCTTTTTCGATCCCTTTTTGGTTAATTATTTCAGGTTTTGGGATATTTTTGATGGTGTTAATGTTATTCCTTTGTTTACTTAAGATCAAAATGAAACTTTAGTTTACTATAAGTGCAAACTGAAGTTCAATGGCCTATAATTGTCTGTAATTTTCTCCTATTATGAATCTCTCCATCCGCTGAGCGCTTAAGGAAATGTGAATTCACTTTTTTAACTTCCCTTTCCTCCCCCCCCCTCCTACCTTCTCTCTACCTGTCTTATTCTTTCTATTTCTATATATTTTTTTCTCTCTCACTTTCAAATCTTGTGTATGAGTTTGCTTGATCAGGAAAAGTAGAAGTGTGACTCGTAATCTATTAGAATTTAATGAACTTACAGGCCAAGCAATGACTGTGAAATATATGGTGACACTGTACCTTCAAGATGCTAACTTATGTGTCTGAGTTTAGTGTAGTGTCATCATACTCACCATACGTGACCATAATACTTAGATATCGTATTTAGGGTGTTGTCATTATACTCAAGGTGTTAAGTCATGGTATTCGAAGGATTGAAACACTGCATCATACTCATTGGGTTCATTCACAATACTCATGATGTTAGGTTAGGTTAGGTCAGGTTAGGTTAGGTTAGGTTAGGTTTGGTTTGGTTAGGTTAGGTTAGGTTAGGTTAGGTTAGGTTAGGTTAGGTTAGATGTTTGTTGTCAGAATTAATACGGAAGTCGAAAGGATTTACCTGTTTAAGCAACACTCATCAAACATGGTAACAAAACGTGTTCTTTAACTTCACTAACGAGACACAAGAGCTCCGACGGGTTGATCTCTGACTCGCCCTAATGCTGTGTGGGTGAATCTTGATCTGGGTTTGTATACATAACTGTGATATAATTTCTAAAGTATGGAAGGTTAAAATCTCTCGTTTTTTGGGGGGTTTGTTTTTGATTTATAATCTTTTGAAATCTCTCTAACTGCAGTTTTGTTTTTGAAGTATAATATACTGAAGTCTCTATAATATTGATGTTGTATTTTGTATGAATAATTATTGAAATTTTTACAGCTGTACTTGAATTTTGTCCTTAAATTATAGTCAAAAATTAAGTATTTATAGTTGTACTGTAGATTTTAAATAATAAAATCACTGACATTTAAATATCCTACTTCAGTAACCACATTTAATATTTTTTTTTACTGAATGATACTATTGTTGACATTCATTAACCCTTACTCGTGCTGCTGGTTTCAAAATGATGAAATGAAAAGAAGCGACATTTAGCGTATTACAATATTAAGTAATAAGAAAATAATCATATTAATTCAGAAGATTTGAATATAATGAAAGAAAGAGAAAGTTATGAGAAAATAAAATAGATCGTAAGATGAAAAGTTGTCAGCCATTGCGTGTGCCGAAGATGATATGATTAAACGTTTTTATTAAAGGAAAAAAGAAACAGAAGAACATCGGCTGAGTGGATATTTACTTAAAGTTTGGAAGATTCAACCCTTTTGATATTTAGATCTATCAATGGGAATGGAGAACCCTTTTAGTAAAGACTGTGGAGGAGGGTGTTTTTAATAGGAAATGGGAAAGTATGGGTATGTGAAGCCTTTCTATTAGGAAATGGGAAGACATGGCTGAAGAGAAATCTTCCTATTACATTCTGAAAATTGAAACAATAGAATAAGACCTTTCACAACTTACCCTGTAGCTTTTTATGTTTTTTTTCGCCGTTTCCTACATGTTTCGTCTATTAATAATAAAAAAGGGCGTATTTTTGACCTGACGTAACATGACTAGTTACGTCGCCCTTCTTTTAAGCTTCTTTTGTGTTTGAGGTGGTCCATGTAATTCAGTTGCCTGTGAAGATGTCTTGAATAAAGACGAAAGCTAAGGTGCTCAATTGTTTCACTTTTTTCTGTGTGATATACAAGTATATATATATATATATATATATATATATATATATATATATATATATATATATATATATATATATATATATATATATATATATATATATATATATATATATATATATATATATATATTTATATATAGCCACAGATGTAATCTTAAGAAAAAAGTTCATGACCTTATTTCTTGAAGACATAGAGTAAGTTCGTTAAAGACTTAATATAGTTTTACAAGAACTGAAGAAAAAATGAGGAAATTGCTGAAAAGTTACAGTGGCTTACAAAACCCATTTTTTTGGAAAATTTCAAAGCCTAACAAGACCTTAAACATAAGTTGCAAAACTCAATAGAATCATAATTTTTTTTTACATACTGTAGACTACACGAAACCTTGAAATAATTAGAAACCATCACACAACCATGAAAAACTCATAAAAAATGTAGAAAAACTTACTGTACCCCCAAATTGACAAAACCTTACGAAAACTCATAAAAATGACCAAAACTTTCTAAAACTAAACAACAATTCACAAAATCTTACAAGATCTATAAAACTAACACGTAACAATTTAATTTTTCACCGTTCAGAAGTGATGATGATTGTTGACAGCTAACACAGGATGTATGAGTACTCCGGGGTCAGTGTGTCTTAGGGGGTCAAGGGAACACAACCATGTTTCTACGAGTTTTTATGTACCTTTCCTCTTATGGCCATTTAAATTCTGAATAATAATTATAATAATGTTCATGAAAATAAAACAATAATACTATTATTAGTTATTTTACTGAATATAAAGCAGCCAGTTGTATATATGCAAATGACACACACACACACACACACACACACACACACACACACACACACACACACACACACACATAGTTACATTGTGGAGGGGGTGACACATGATTTTAGTCTAAATTTATCTTCAGAAATTAAAAACAGTGAATATGCACTACAAGTCATCCCCTAACTACAATATTTTCAGTGAGTGGGAAGAGGTCATTTGAGAGTATCTGTGTCTTCCAGTCCATTATCGTAAGGCTGGGTGGGGGTTCTCGAGGTGTGAAGAATGTGCAACGCGATATTTTGGGTAGGAAAATACCGGAAACTTCAACCATTTCAGTTGAGTTGGCTAAGATTCGAGGTCATGATGTTAAGAAGTGGGTAGAGGTGTGCTGTTACTGATGTGGTTGCATGTTTATATGTTCGTTAGTTGGTCGATGTATATAGAAGAATGATAGCTAGAACACTAAACCTGTATTACCATATTATTTTGTAACGAAAAACTTTGTATTTTTCAACCAAATTCCTCATGGTTCAAGTTCATGTAACATTAAATATAAAAGACGCAATGATGATCGTAACTCCGGAACATAATAACTACCTCGACAAAATAGACCTTAGAGTGACTTTTGATGACTGTTTTTGTCTTGTGACTGTTTTTTCTATGTACGTTCTGACTGTGGAAAGGTTCTATGTGTTATCACCTAAACCCAGAAATAGTTTACTTAGGGTCAGATGATACGTTCATGTCCATAACTTTCATTTCCTATTCTGGATTCCTGGTTATGTTGCCTCAAGTTCACTGTAAGAGGTAAGCTTTCACTCACTTTCCTTTCAATGTGTGTGTGTGTGTGTGTGTGTGTGTGTGTGTGTGTGTGTGTGTGTGTGTGTGTGTGTGTGTGTGTGTGTGTGTGTGTGTGTGTGTGTGTCTGCCTGCCTGTCTGCCAGTGTTATTGCTTGAGTAGTCTCTGGCAGCTTCCCACCCTATTATTTCATTTCTTGTCCTTGAAGGGAGAGATACGAGTAAATCTTTTTCCCTGATCAAATAACACCTTTCTAAAAACACTGACAACTTACCTAAACTGACATAATATTGTAAATATATACTGATAGGTAAGCGAAAACTGCACATATAGCTTCTGAAAATTTTGTACACAGAAATTTAATATCAATGAAATTTTACAATAAATTTAATTGCTTACCAGTTTCTCGTGTTCGTTTTGCTATGATGGCTCTTTGTTGCCTATCATCGTTATTTCGTTCCGTGTGAGTGCATAAGAATGGAAACTAGAGAAAAAACTAATATCTAGAAGAAAAAAAAATTAAAATCTAAAAAGTAAAGAAGTGTCGATACATCTTAAAGACGTCTTGAGTGACATTTTCGAAGCTCTTCCAAGTTTTTAATAATGACTCTGTTAGTTTTACAGTAAATCTTTAAAATAAATTGTGGTCATATCCGTCTATTTATTTCATGACACGAAGTTTTTATCAGATAATATGATATTTCTACAACAGTGTATTACAAAGCTCAACTCCAACCACTGCAACTCAAGGAAACTTATTCGGATTTAATAGACTCTCAAGAACGCTTCATTATTTTTGTTATTTAATGTGGATAGACTCATACCAGACGTTTAACTTAACTAAAGTGTTTTTTTTATCATATATTTGAAATAATTTTTGCCTAGGTTCACTGATAATGGTTAGATACCCCTTCGCGAAAGCCCGCTCTGGCCCGCCTGTTGTCCTTGAGGGTGGGGGAGGGGGCATTTAGAACTGCAGCAATCTCCATTGTTCTGATTGTCAATACTTCTTACATTAAAATTTCCCCGCTGAAGTGAGGAAGAGAATGCAGCTTACAGTAGAGTCATTGTTAAATTTCCCACTTCGTTTTGGTCATCAGGTGATTATTTAAAGGTCAGAGCCAGGGTCAGGATGCTTACCATGGTATGCTTTGTGGAGTAGTGTCGTTGACCTGGCACAGGGTTTGACAATGAATTCTCCTCCTTGTTTATTGATTTATCTCTCTATCTGTCTCTCTCCGTGACTCCTTATTTCTATCTTTCTCCCTAAATTTTTTGTGCAAAACGTCCACTTTGGATCATGGTGTATTACTAAACTGGACTTTTATCTCGGTTGAAAATCAGGTCTTTATTCACACCCTCCACTCTACTCCATACTATTCCTGCGAAGAACAGTATTCCTGGAGACTAGTTTGCAG